AGCTAGAGCTCTTAGAGTTCTTGCAATCACGGAGCATGAAAGATCTGAGTTCCAAGCGAAACTTTCAACTGAACGTTGTACATTGTCTCAGTAGAACACCGCTGGCAGTAATGACTCCTACCTATCAGAGAGATCACTGGACTCTAACCCATCAGCGGCATCAACCATAATGGAACACGATGCTTTGTTGCAGCTCATTTGACCTATTGGTGACGAAAGTAAAAAAAATTGTTACAACAGTTAGGGTAGAGCAAGAAACAAAGCGGAACAAGTTTTCGTGGCTACGTTAAGCACGATTACCAAGCCATTAACACCAAGTATCGCAGTACTTGATCCTTTCATCAGATAAAATTAACTCTAAAATCAGAATCAGAAATCAACTCTAAAAACAAAAAACCTGCTTGTAGCATTCAATCTGCAAGGCCATTCCTGAGGCAAATCACTTCTCTGATGTTGGCATAAGAGGTACAAACAGTGACACTGCATCTTTAAAGAGTAATAAAAATAAACCACTCTGACATGCAGTTAACTTCTGCATAAATGTCAGTGCAGACTTAACCTTTTAATAGGATCTCTTCACCTCTGACAGGAATTTGTCTTTCAGAGGCAATGGATAATTTTGGTTATGCGGGAGGCAAGGCTTAACACGTTCTAATACAGTAATAGTTATTATCAAAGCAAGTAGGAGGAGTTCCCAACAAGTGCGTTTATTACACTGTTTTCACATCATCTCATTAACAGACTTCAAAATAATGTACCAGCTGCTGGTTTGTGTCATTGCTCCAGTTACGTTTCAGCTTTTGAACTAAAACTTGCATTTTACTGCAAGTTTAGTTATTTTAGTGCATTTAAATAAAACTTGAAAACTAGCATTTAAATAAAGCTCTTACCTTTTGATTTTAAAACCCGAGTAGCATCCTGCAAGTGAAGTGTTTCCCAAGAGCATTCAACACCAACAGGCTGTGATCGTAAAAACATGTCCTTGTTCAATGACGATTGGCCTGAATTGTCTGTGTCTGCTGGCTGTGAACCAACCCCACTGTGTGTACAAGGCTGGCAGTCTAACGACCAAAGTGACACTGGGACTGGCTGAGGCTTCGAGATAGACCTGCCCTCGCCATTTTCGGGGCCCGATCCATTCTGGGAAGACAGGCGTGATGATGTGCTCTCCACAATTTCCTCTTTCACTGGATCATTATTCTCTTTGCGTGGGCAGTGCTCTTCACTAAGTGAAACACTGTGATTTAAATGTGTGTCCAGGATATAACTGTGCCCCTCCTGGCAGCCCCACACAGCTCCAACCACTCCACGATACTCTGCAGATAAGACGCTCTGAAGGCTCGGTGTGGATTTGCAGCTACTGCCATGATGGTGAGCCCAAGTGACTAGAATCTGCAGACATTGTGGGCTTGCACTTAAGAGTCTATCATTTAGCATATGTTTGATATCTAAAAAAAATCAGAAGCAAATAAAACAATCTGTACCACATCCAGTACTGTAGATTGAAGCAGCGCGTTTCAAAATAAATGAAACCTCCTATGTTTAGTAAACATTTGTGCTACATAATTATTTTTGCATTTTCCTATAAATCGTAAACAATAACTGAACATTCAAAAATGAGTCATTATGATGCCTGGTACTATGCAAACAGAAAATATTATCAGCAATTTCCAATTCGTTCTACACTTCATTTCTCGACTAATATAGGTGAAACACCCAGCTAATTGTGCACTGCGCTCTGGTTCACTTACCAGGAATTGAATCACCTAATGGAGGCTGTGAAAGTGATGGTGTGAATGACATTCAGTGGCTGCAAAAAACCTACAAAGAAAAAAATCATTACATTCAACTGAGGTTGAAAATGTAAAATTTACTGTCACTTATAAACTACATGCCCTTCTTGTATGTTCGCCTACAAAATACAATTGCTACACCTTTACAGTATATCCTATGAAATGCTTTGCAATGTCCCCGCCGAAGTGGAAAGCGCTATATGAAATGCAAGGATTATTATTATGATTGTACAACACAAAAACTCCCATTTATTCAAAATGTGAAACAACAGTGAGTTAAATTCTATTTGCTGTGGGGCAAATTATGCCTTGATCCAGTAGCTAATAAAAAGGGCATTTATATGGAATGCTCGACAATTAACATCAATGTTGCTCTTTGTTCAGTTACAGTTGACGATGAAAAAAATAGTAACTTATCTATCATCTGCTGATCTTTCTAAGGAGTAAAGAAACCTATCACAAAATACTAAAAAAAATTTAAAAAAGCCTCTTACCTTTATGCATTTTTTGAAATGTGGTCAAAACATACAATTATATTTAGTGAAGCTTTCAATGCTTTCTATTTACCCAATTAATTATCCCACCCATCCACCCGCCTGACTGTGAAGACCTAAGCTATCAATCAAGACACAAGTGGGAAACGATATCAAAGAAAGTACAAGTTCCTTCACCCCAAATGAGTGTAAGGCTAATGTGGTGTAACAAGACAATAAATAAAAACAAGACTAAGATAGAGACACAGTGCCTTCTTCAGCCGACCAATACTGGACTGGAGATGCTAAATAATAGCTGAATATACTTTTCACATTTTCTTTTCAAGTTATACTTGTGTATAACAGACACTCAGGTGTAGAGTACTGCACACGTTATAAATTAACTATGTACATTAGTGACATTAAATAACACACACATTAAATAACACACACATTAATCATCTGGTCTTCAGGTACCTGCCCGCCTATTGTCCTCGCTGTACGGGAGCCACGGGAGAAGAATTCACTCGTTGAATGAAATTTCGCAGGATACTCCGGCATTTAAAAACTGAGCGTGACAGTTCTGCAGATAAACTGGGGCAAGGTGGGATCCTGCCTTACCACAATGCCAACCAGCCTCTGGAAATCGGCACAGAAAGTTTGTTGTGCTCTTCGCTGCCTCTCTGGATTTGTGTCAATCAGAGGAACCTTTGCAAAGACATTCCGCAAACTCCTGGAGGAAAACTTGCCATGGCAGAGGCGGCAATAGCTGGTGGTCACAACAATAGGTGCAGCTGATAGAAAAGGGGGAGGAAATTTTGTTTAAAAATTTACCATTTGTTATTTTATGTAAATTATGCTGAGAACTAATATTTAAGGAAGTTAGTTCATCGTGTGTATTAAAATTGCTGACATTTAGGAAAGGCACTTTGAAAGAAATCCATTTCTGGGGTACTCACTAAAATATTGAAACTAGCAATTAGTTTTACAAATCAAAATAGTATTATTTCTTCCCTTACATACAGTATTTAAAAGATGCGAAAAGGATTTTGGTGCTACAGCACATTGCTGTATTAGGGTGGTGCACCACTGATTGCTGGATATTAGCTCTACATCAAAATTCTCTATGTGGGAAGCATTCTTGTGAGGTTAGATATTTAAAGACTTTGATTTCACTGGCGATGGAGTTCTCATCAAGCTGCTGGATGTCCTACAAATAAACTCTGGGATCATAGATAAGGAGACTCAGTCACTGATTCTTCAGATTTTCCAAGTTACGGTTCAGTAGTTCATCTGATTTCCTTCAGGAAATCACAGAATCTATTGATGTAAGACAAGCGAATATCACTGGTGCCTCTTGGCACTCGGAGCTGATCTGTTGCAAATACTTGTTGAATGTTAAGGGGATCAAGGACTAGACTGTCTGACATGACCATAACCATTGCAATAGCTGCATCTCCCCAACGCCTGTCTATTGGACAACTTGGACCTGCACTTCCAAGTGTAAGTGCAAGTGTAAACCTTTGATATTGCGCCACTCCACCAAATCTCGGTCCTTCCTGTGCTTCTCCGGCTTTTGTTCGAATAGTGGCCATTAACGGAAAGTTAATTTAAGTTGGTTATGCATCTTCAAAAAAGGGGGGAACGGGGGGGGGGGGGTGGGGGGGGTCAGCGGCCGGTTGAGTCCTTCAAGTACGTGGAGTTCCTGGAACATCCGGGAAGACCACGTACTGGAACACTATCGTTGTAACCTCTCTCGTACAATCTGCCAGACCGAAGCTTCTCACGTGCACCACACAAAAAAGTACATTGCAGCTTCTTCATCATCAAACTGTCTCGACTTCTCTCTGCTCACACCACCCCCCCCCCCCCCCCCCCACCCCTCCACCCCCCCCCCCCCTCCTCCACCCCCCCCCACCCCCCCCCCCCCCCCCACCCCCTCCACCCCCCCCACCACCCCCCCCCCCACCACCCCCCCACCGCGGGTTATTTTACAAACAATAAATCCAGCAGTCAGTCGCCAACAAAGTCAGTCGCCAACAAACCCATCAGATTGATGGAAGCGATCGTATGCCCTATTGCAGTTCATGCGTGAGTTTGTTGAGGGTCATTTTTTTTAAAATTACTTTTAGCCATCACTGTGTGTGGGGGGGGGGGGGGGGGGTACTGTTGGGAGTTTAATCACAGTCGGAACTTACACAGCCCCCGTCGCCGATAGAGCTCTGCTATGTCCAGCGAGGGCTCGTTACCTCGCGGGGTGGGCAGGAGCTGAGTGGGATGGCTCCCTCCCTCCCTCCCTCCCTCCCCTCTGTGGCGGCCCCCGGCGCTGCCGTCAGCTTTTTATGGAGTGTGCAAAGTTTTGGCAGAAGTCGCGACTCGTCGGCGGGGGAAGACGGCCCCGAGCGAACGACGGGTCCGAAGCGCCCCCCCTCCCCCCCCCACACTGACTTTGCGAGCGGATCGGGATGGGGATCAAACCGGGATCGAGTGAGGGAGGGAGAGAGTGAGGGAGGGAGTGAGCCCGAGGTCTCGGAGCAGCCGAACAGGTGCCGAGGGCTGGAGCCCGAGTGTAAAGCCGCCCTCCCTCCCTCCCTCCCCGGATTCTCGGTCTCCTGTCACGAGCCGGAGCGCCGGGGACTGTGCGATGAAGCCTTCCTTAAGCCGTCGTTTAATCCCTTTTGCATTTTAAAATATATTATTGTTGTGATCTGGAGGAGGGGAGAGGGAGAGGGAGAGGGAGGGGGGGGGGGGGAGGGGGAGGGGGGGGAGAGGGGGGGAGGCCAGACCGGGACACTGACCTGTCTCCGGCCCGCGACAATCCGCTCGTGTGGCCGCCGCCGCCGCCGCCTCGCCCTCAGGCCGGGGCTGCTGGTCCCGGACCCACCGCTGCCGCTGCCCCTCCGACAGCTTCTCCATCTTCTTGGCCATCGCCACCGACACGAAGCGGCCCCGTTTGTTCCGTTTCATGTTGAGTGTGTGTGTGTGAGGGGGTGTGGGGGGGAGTGTGTGTGATGTGGGGGGGGGTGTGGGGGGGGGGGAGGGGTGTGAGGGGTGGGGGGTGTGTGGGGGGAGGGGATGTTATTTAATTTTTTTAAAAAAATAACGAAATTATTGTAAAATAAAGGAATGTTAACACATTTTTTTTTATTGATACGATGTTATTGTGTTTATAACATACATTTAGTTTCGCGGCTTTTTTTTTCCCCCCTCAACAACCACCGACTGTCCGACTGAGGCCCCGGAGACCGAACGGAGAGTAAACAACCGGAAGCCGGAGCCCGGGGACCCGGACCAGCGGGAAACGCGGCGCCACGGACCCAGGAGAAAGGTTCCGGCTGTCACCCGGCACCCCCCCCCTCCCCCGACACCAACACACCACACACACACACACACACAGAGCCCCACCGACACACAGCCCCCCAACACACACACAGCCCCCCCCAACACACACACAGCCCCCCCCCCAACACACACACAGCCCCCCCCCCCCACCCCAACCCCCCCCCCCCAACACACACACAGCCCCCCCCCAACACACACACAGCCCCCCCAACACACAACACAGCCCCCCCCCCCAACACACACACAGCCCCCCCCCACACCACAGCCCCCCCCCAACACACACACAGCCCCCCCCCCAACACACACACAGCCCCCCCCCCCCCCAACACACACACAGCCCCCCCCCCAACACACACACAGCCCCCCCCAACACACACACAGCCCCCCCCCCAACACACACACAGCCCCCCCCCCCAACACACACCACACACAGCCCCCCCAACACACACACAGCCCCCCCCCCCCCCCCAACACACACACAGCCCCCCCCCAACACACACACAGCCCCCCCCAACACACACACACAGGCCAGCCCCCCCCAACACACACACAGCCCCCCCAACACACACACAGCCCCCCCAACACACACACAGCCCCCCCCAACACACACACAGCCCCCCCAACACACACACAGCCCCCCAACACACACACAGCCCCCCAACACACACACACAGCCCCCCAACACACACACCCCCCCAACACACACAGCCCCCCAACACACACAGCCCCCCCAACACACACAGCCCCCCCAACCACAACACACACACAGCCCCCCCCCCCCCCCCCAACACACACACACACAGCCCCCCCAACACACACACAGCCCCCCCAACACACACACACACAGCCCCCCCAACACACACACACAGCCCCCCCCCCCAACACACACACACACAGCCCCCCCAACACACACACAGCCCCCCCAAACACACACACACACAGCCCCCCAACACACACACACACAGCCCCCCAACACACACACACAGCCCCCCCCCCCACACACAGTCAGTAACCCGGGGCTAACTGGCGGGTAACAAAATCATAGCCCCACTTCTCTTCCCCCCCACACACACCCGGGGCTCAGGGCTCTGCTGTGTCACCTTTGCCTCATTTCTCCACTGATTCCACTCATCTTCAACCGAGGGGGAGGGAGAGAGGGAAGGAAAGCAGAGGAGGGAGGGAGGGAGGGAACGGGATGCGAGGGAGGGAGGGAGGGAGGAAGGAAAGGAGAGAGAGAGTCTCGGTGGCCGCCGCTGAGCGGCCGTTAATTTACAAACGATGGGTTTAAAAACGCTGCGCTCGACTGTGACCGGGAGCCGCGGGCGGGCGGGCGGGCGGTTGGTTGGTTGGTTGGTTGCCGGGGAGACGCGGATTTCCGCCCGGACGGAACGACCACAGACACAGAGTTCCGTTTCCGGTCGGGGCGGACAGGCGGTCGGGGCGGACAGGCGGCTGAGGGGGGAAGCGCACCACGTGCCGGGGAGGAGGATGCGGCCGCTGACGGAGGAAGAAACGCGGCTCCTGTTCGAGAAGCTCTCAAGATAGTGAGTGTCCGACCGACCGACCCCCCGCCCCGAGACCGGGGAGTGAGGAACTGGAGGAGGGCCCGAGGACAGGGAGAGGGAGAGAGGGAGAGGGTGGGGGGGGGGACACCGGGGCCTCGCGTGGGGCCCTGGGCCCGAGCGTGAAAGCTTTGGATCTGTCAGGTCTCTCTCTCTCTCTCTCCCTCCCGTGTCATGGTGGTCATTGCCCCCCCCCCTCTCACGGCGTGGGGTCAGGCTGGTGCTGTACAGGGTTAAGAGAAAACAGAATAAAAATGGGGGGGGGTCCAGGGAATAATCCACATCACCTGCGAATGTAAAGTCCTAAAGTTTCTCCTCCTCCCTCTCCCCCGCCCCCCCCCCCCCCCGAAAAAAAAAGCTTTTGCGAAAGGGGCGACCGCGCTGTCAGATGTGTAGCCGGTGCGGATTTGTCAGCGATTCGCGCTGGCGAGGGGGCCCCACGGAACCACCTCGGAGTTCAGTGACCGGCGTGCGACTGACCTCCTCGGGAGGACGTAGGCGAAGGATGCGTGGGCTGGCAGGCGGCAAGGCGCACACGCTGGGCAGCGTACCCGCTGTGGTGGTCCATTCCCCCGAGCCAGACGGCCCCGGGGTACTCCAGGACGCGGGTGTTGATAGACCGGCCAGTCTGGCTGATCAGTAGAATTTTACGGTACAGGTATATCCTGTGAAGCGTTTTGAGACGTCTCCGCGTGATAAGGTGCTGCGGTTAAAAACAAGGATTATTTATTATGTAACAGCGTAATACTCTGGGGAAACCCAGAGTTTCGTTCTCACCGATACACGACTCATACTCTTAGATTTTAAGTAATAAGGGTGCATCCCCCCCAAAAAAAGTGTGCACATTTCATTCCAGGCACAAGGAAATTTCTGTATACGGGCGGCTTACAGGTGGGTTACTCCGTCTGATTAAAGTAAACGATCTTTGTCATCCATGGATACAAGATTTTGGTTTAATATCTCATTCAAAGGACGACACTTCCAAAATTCCCGGAGTACTGCACTATAATTTAATTGAGCTCAAAATTCCAATGTGGGGGTATGTTTATTTTGTATCTGCGGATTTGCTCACGGTTGATTTCATTAATTCTATATGTAATTTTGCACTTTAACTGTTTCAAAACTTTTTTCTTCAGCATTGGAGAGAATATTAAGCTGCTAGTGGATCGTCCTGACGGAACCTACTGCTTCCGTTTACACAACGATCGTATTTATTACGTCAGGTAAGAAGTGAGACCTGACGTTACTTGGTCTGACTGGGGGGGAAAACCTTCACTTTAAAGAATCCTGTATGTGACAAGGGATGATAGAATTTGTTCATATTCAGTTGTTCTGAGTTCAGATTTATGTAATAGTTTGATTTCCCTTCATAGCAGTTTATTTGTGCAATGCTTTCTACTTTAGGTGGGAAGGTTTTGCTCCCTACCTGATTTGTTGAGGTTTTTTTTCCACAGTGAGACCATCCTGAAACTGGCAACAAGTATACCTCGAAATAAACTTGTTTCATTAGGAACATGCTTTGGGAAATTCACCAAAACATCAAAATTTCGATTGCATGTAACGGCTCTCGACTACCTTGCTCCCTATGCTAAGGTAGGTGTCTCTACGTTCCGACAATTGAGTAGCAGCAAAAAGTCAATGTAAATTTATGTAGTTTAGAAATGGTTAATAAATGAAAATATGAGACAAGACGGTTTCTTAAATGACACACACGCAGTCCTCATTGCTAAAATGCACAATGTGTTTGTTTTAATTTCAGTACAAAGTATGGGTGAAGCCTGGATCTGAACAATCGTTCCTGTATGGAAACCACGTTTTGAAATCTGGTCTGGGCCGAATTACGGAGAACACGGCTCAGTATCAAGGTGTTGTGGTTTATTCCATGGCTGACGTTCCATTGGTAAGCAAGAGGATAGGATCATTTTTACTCTGAACAAACATTAAAACAAACAGAAAAAGAATATGCTAAGGATTATTGCCTGTGTATTTGTAAGCAAAGGTAATATAAACACCTGAGTAATCATTTGAGTATAACTTGCAGACTGGTAACTCTTATTACTGCAGACTCTTATTGTTCACAAATGACCTTCCTTCAAAATAGGCAATGTGGTTTTCAGGACTATGTTGAGAATATGCCATTAATGTTCATTGGTACAATTTACATAATTTAAAAATCTTCTTAATTTTCTCCAGGGCTTTGGAGTTGCTGCAAAATCAACTCAAGACTGTCGGAAATTAGACCCAATGGCAGTCGTTGTATTTCACCAGGCTGATATTGGCGAATATTTACGACATGAGGATACATTAACATAACTTATCGTCTTATTAGCTACAAAAAGAACTATTTCTCACACGTCAGATTCTCTATGGAAGGGGAAGATAATTCAGCAACTTACTGCTGCTCCACCGCAGCGGATTGTGGGAAGGCTCAAGGTTGCTTTCAGTAAGAAATGAAAACATCTGAAATGTTATTCAAGATCGTTTTCCAAACTTGTATCGCTTTTTCAAGCTGGTATTTCAAGGCAGTCAATATTTTAAAGATCTCAAAAGTTGTATCAGAGAGCACATTTCAGAACGTTCGTAGTGATTCAGACCATTGTTTTATATTTATATCTGTTGTGCCTTCTTAATTTTGGCTCAAAATTGAATTGAAATGAACACTTTTGGACGAGGTATGATTTTTGATAACTAAAATTTAAGGTATTAAATGTAATTGTTTAAAAGTACTATTTTAGCTGAAGATTACATGGAACCAGCTCTGGCTATCTCTGACACCTATTTCACCTTGTATCCAGTGTGATTTTTGAATTTTGGGAATTTTACATACATTAATTGGAAAGTGTATGATTTCTCGTTAACTTGCAGAAAATATTTGAAAAAATTTACTGCATGACAGTTTTTTTTCTGCCACCATTGCAGTTAGTCCTGCTAATGTATTGTATCTGTTACAATATGATTGTATCCACAGTTGTATGCTTGTATTCATCTTCAAAGTAGATGACATTCGATTTTCTATATAAAAACGCAGTTTCTGATCTGCCATGGTTATTTTGTTCACCTCATAACGGATTTAAAAAAGCCGAGATAAACTGGGTTTACAGGATTCCTCAACTCCCAGTGTACAATGATCAAAAACCGCATTTCGCCCACAAAATACAGTCACTACACTTTACAGTATATTCTGTGAAGTACTTTTGAGACAGCTCAAAGACACTGTAAGGCACTACATCAAGTGCAAAGATTATTATTATTCCTCCTACGTTCTTTCCCTTGTACTTCAAAACTCAAAAATGGATGTAATTAGATTTTTACACCTGAGATTGTTTTAGAGATTAGAATTTGTAACTTTGATTTTTAATTCTCTATAATATATGAGGCACGGTCTGATGTTGGGGATCAGGTACTTGGAATATATCTTGCAGTGTTTCCATTAAAATGAAACTTCACATTTAGTGTAACATCCTTGCAGCAACTCAATTGGGCTCTCAACCCAAACCGTATCTATGAATGATCTTAAAATTAGCTATCGATACAAAAGTAGCCTTGATCGATTTGTTTGGCAGAAAAATAATTAGCTATATATTGTGTAAAACACAAAGAATGGTCTTATTTTCAAATCCTAGCTATGCACAATGTTAAAGTATAATGTTATTTACAAAGGTAAGATAGTGTTACTGTAATACAACGCTTGGCCACGTGAGGCCTCCAAATCACTGCCAAAAATGAAATTGTATTGTGACTACGGATTAGATGAAAATAGGCTGTCGGATAGAAACTCCCAAACAGCTAAAAAAGGGAAGAACCATCAGGTAAAGATCCCACAATTTAGCGAAAATGATCCAATTATTTTATTACTTTGCTCAGAAATATTTAATCAGCAGCTTCAAAATAGCCCCAAATTCAAATTTGGGAATAAAAAGTTGTGGTACATTACTTGGGGCTTTCTGTCACTTAATGGACAAATCAGCTTCCAGAAACAGACTCGGTTGGAGTTTAATATAGATTGGCTCCCAATATTGCAGATATTTAAGTTTTTAATCACATTGTCGCTCGTAGAAAAATAACGCCAGAGTGTTGCTTCATGGCGAGATTGAACAGACAATTCTGCTTTCTGCAGTAGGAAAATATATTTTCACAAAGTGTAAAAGTCCCTTGACCTACCTGAGTGTGGAGTTTCATGGGAAAGTAGATGGGAATTCCATCTTGATTACTTGGAAGTTATTGTGGTCCAATGTCAGAAAAGTCACCCAAATTTTCAGCCTTGGGGAAATTTTAGGTGACTCATTTATTTGGGAGTGCAAACATCAAGTGGAATTTGATACTGAGCAGTAAACAACTTTCCTCATGTATTATGGGATTGTCTATAGAAGTATTTGTGGGAAATTCATTGGTAAGAACATAAAGCCCAGGTAGAATTAAATGCTATATTCGGCACAAGTTCAGACAAAATATTAGGTGTTATTTTAGCTTAGTTGGTAACACTTCAGTCAGAGGTGTGGGTTCAGCGCCAACTAGACAACTATAGCAGCTTTAATGTCAGAAAACATTTCAAAGCGCTTCACAGGGATCCAAGCCTCGCACTGGGACTTTGGTTTATATTAACTTTAATGTATGTAGAGGTCATCAAACCCTGAAATACCAGTTAGCAGGAATTTCAGGAATATCCGTCTCATGATGAATAATTTCTTGTTCACCACACTTTGTTCTCTGCTTATGAAACAGTTCACCGCAATGTTTATTTATAAGCGGAAAACAACAAAATGCAGTCAAAGGAAATGATGAACCTGTTTCCACGCTACTATCGGTTTGCTTTTGTGTAAATGCAAAACATTGAAGATTTTAAGATTATCTTGTATTGAATCTGTATAGCTTCACATATTCATATTTAGGTCAGCAGAACGGTCCAATGTCAGGAAAGCCACCCAAATTTTATAAAAGGTCATAGATTGGAAATTAGATTTTTGGTACTAATGGGAATGATGTGTCAGTATATTGATTAATATTACAACATCTCTCCATTATAGCATGCGACTATTAGGATGGTAACCACAGGAACTGGAAACACTGAATACAAAACAAGGTTCCTAAAGCTTGAGTTTCCTGTAAATAGTTAGATACAAGTTTTTGTTAATAAGATTTACTGAACTTCCACTTGACCTATTTTCCACTTCGTGTGAGAGGTAGATAGTTCATACGACCACAATACTGGTGTTTAGACTGCAATCACCACTAGCTGGAAAGGAGAAAGGAGAACAACTGCCAACCAAACAAGGAAATTACACCTGAATCAGAAAAAGGACTTGATGCAGTTGCAGGCTCCAAATCCCATTCTGGGACATTTGGAGTCCTGGTTTACTGTTGACTTTTCCAAGAGGAAACTAAACATTTAGTTTGAACATGGGAACGTATGAATTGCTAGACGCAAAAAGACCATGTCAATCTAGCTTGCATTCTACCATCCTGATAGTCACAATAATGGAGGGATGTTGATATTGATTAATTCTCTATGGATTCGTCTGCAACAGAGTGGAAAGCTTTAGGAACCTTCGAAGCAAAGTTGCCTGATTCTTCTGAGCCATACTACACTCACTATACATCATATTTCAAACTGCTCATATACTGCATCCCAAAATATTATATCATAAAAGAAATCTATCTGATTCACATTTGAATAAATCATCACTTTCAAATATCAAATGTTAAAAGTTGTCTTAATTTCCAGTACCATTTCAAAAATGGGAAATGAATAACTAACTGGGTCATTCTACTGAATAAACCTTAATTGCTTTAACTTTGCCTTTTTTCCCCCAGTGTCTGATAGTAGTTGCTACTAAGAGATTTTTTAAAAATCAAACATCAAATAATTAGTTTGCCATTTGTGAAAGGAAATACATTTAAGACTATGCCTTACAGATTATTAATAATAATAATAATAATATTAAATTGGAAGAAAGCATTAGTAAGTTAAAGTAACACAATTTTCTGAGTGACTGCACTGTAAGTTTGTCCTCGTGCTACACTGAAAAAACTTGGTTTTATTTGAAAATATGTTTTATTGTGTCATAATTCTTAGTTTCACAACACAGAATACAGACTATATTGATGAGAGAGAGGTTAACGAACATCATATAGAATGTATTCAGTCAAGACATAACATATTTTATAATGCTAATTTCATAGTACTGATTGAATTGTTGAATTATGTGATTTCAAGTGCTTGACATTTGAAAAACAAACCATTAATAAAAATGTCTCGAGATAACTTTGGGTTGAATTATAAGAATTCAATAACACACATACTAAACAAGTTCACTGTACTCCCGATCATGTTTTCTTTCAATTGGGATTTCCTTATCGTAGGTGATGGTTGTTTCAGTGATACAACAACAGCACTGCCCCTTGTAGATATTGATGTTAACTGTCGTACAGTAAGTGGTTTGTTGACCCTTACACTAACAGATAGCATAGTGCAGCTAGAGCGACAGATGCAGGCAGAAGACTTAGTGATATTCCGGTATTGGATCAGTTTGAATAGCCGTAAGAAGTTCTACATGGATTCTGAACCTTGTCATAAGAAATGGGGGTGTCATCAACCAACAGCTCGTTTCTAACCTAAACAACACAAAAGAGAAAGGTTTCAGTCCCTCCTGTACAACCCAACTTGCTTCAATTTCACTGTTGAATTGCTGCCATTTCTACCCTGCTGGAGTTCAGCTAACTAAAACCACACTGCTTGCGATTGAGAGCAATGTGTGATCCAGCTTAACAAGAGGCCATGTTTATCCCCTCCCCCCAAAGCCGAAGGTTCTGCAAAATTCAGCATTTTTTACGATAGATTATGTTAAAACCAATAATTTTTCTCAATAAATTAACAGCAAAAGTCCAGATGAGGGGGAGGGGGGGGGGGGGGGTAGGGTATTAATTGTTCTCTTCAAAAGGGACAAGAGAAAAAAGGAAAATGTTCCCTTTATTTGGAGCATAAAAGTGCAAACCTGACTCCAGTTCTTGTTATCTTTAGTTAACAACCGTGTGATATCTGTTATTATCAATGTGAAGGTGAAGTTCCACATTTTTATCTAGGTTCATATCTTAGTCACTGCCATTTGTTTTCTGAAAGAGTTGCTATACTTTATTGCAGCTGATGCTTATCTAATTCAACCGTGACTTTTCTATTTATTATATTTATTTGGTTGGGTGCTCAGTTGCTAAATTATATAGCATTAAAGTTAGTTTATAGACCAGGAAGTGAATAATAAAATTTTATCTGGAGGATTGTTGACCAGGATACGAAAATAATCTTCCTCCTTTTTTTGAACAGTGCCATTTTATCACCCACTTAGATAGGCAAATTGGACTTTGATTGGATATTTCCTCCAAAGGTTGCTACAAGATTGCCAACAATAAAGGTTGTTTTTAACATTGTAAGGTGTAGTCTGGGACTGGGGGGAGAGTGTCTCCCGTAGGTTTTTCATGTACTGTGCTGGAAATAAAAGATAAAAGATTCACCAACAATAGCATACACATTTCTCACAGGAAAGTTTACCGAAGAGATTAAGTGATGGCATTGGAACACAGACATTAAAGCTCCTAACAGAGCAATAGAAAATGTAAACAAGATAAACAAAATCTAATATAGATGGTTAAAGATTCAATTTGTTATTATTGCATAAACTTCATAGCTCCTTTGCATTGGGGATTAACCTTACTATTCTTTTCTATACCAGGTGTGGACACACTGTGCTTAGTGTATTCTAATCAGCCTTAAAATGTCTGTAGATTTATATTTTACTGTGCCAGTTCTATTTCCTAATAACTTTTTAAATTGCTTCAGCATATTGTCTGGACATTAAACCCGTTCAGCCAAAAAATATAGTCACTCCATTTTACAATATATCCCATGAACCATAGAAACGTATTGTAGATTTACAGCACAGAAGAATGTCATTCTCCCCATCACTTCTGTGCTGGCTCTTTCAGGCCCATTTACCTGCTTTTTCCCCATAACTCTGAAATGTTTCGAGACTAACGTGAAAGGTTGCATACATCACCTCAGTCGTGTAATTGATGGCATCACAACCTGAAAATGATGACATTTAGGCCACTTTTGATGTCGTAAAGCAGCTTGGAATTTTATGGGCTGCCTTGTATCGGGGGGTCTACTACAACAACAACAACTTGCAGTTATATAGCGCCCTTCACGTGGGGTAACGTCCCGGAGCGCTTCACAGTGGCAGTCTGACAACCAGCCAGGGAGATAGGGAGGGGGGGGGGGGTTAGGCGACCGTAAGCACGATCAAAATGGAAGCTCTTTAGGAGGGATTTGAAGGTGGGGAATGAGGGGGCAAAGCGGAGGGATTGAGGGAGGGAGTTCCAGAAGGCGCGGCCACCGATGGTGGAAGGGACGGCACGAGGGACAAAGAGGAGGCCGGAGCCAGTCGAGCGGAGGCAGCGGGTGGTGGATTGGGGGTTAAGCAAATCGGGATAAACCAGGGTAAACCAGCACTTGTTACTAAATTAACAAGTGCTGGTTTAATTCTAGTTTACACACACTAGCAGTCACCTGAATTTAAAAAGAACAGTTTCCAAAAATATGAGAATCCCAGGGGGTAAAGGTTTAAAGCATGTGGCCCTCACATTTTCAACGGCCTCAAAGACCCGGAGGAGGTTTTCTCCCAGAGCCGCTTGCACCTCCATGTCAGTCCAGTTTCTCCTCAGCAGCTCAGCCACCAGATCCGGGTAGAAGGACACGTCCTCCAACCCTGTAGGTAATCTGCAATCGGTGAAAGGCAACCGTAAGCATTGACCTAAGTGAAGTATCAAGTCGGAACATTTTGTTCCTCCATGAAGATCCTTAAGTACAGCTGTACCAGTTTATGATGTGGGTGAGTGTATTGTTTATTAACTATTATTAAGTAAGCTTCTGTTTGCTTTTCTAAGTCCCCCATTTATACTGTACATTTTCAATTAACTAAACAATTCATGTGTCTCGCTCACAAAATACACAATCAATCCACTTTATGATATATTCCATGAAGCCTTTTGAGACATCTCAAAGACGTGATAAGGCGCTATATCAAATGCAAGGATTAATATTATTATTATTGATAATTGACAGTGAATTAGTACAACAATAAAAAGTTGCACTTATATACCGCCCTTCACGCAGGTTAGAGTCTCAGCCTGACTCCGAGCCAGGAGTAGCACTGAATAACAATCGCAAATGAGCTGGATTTTTCAAAATGACCTGTTGACACCATCGTAATCTCCACCAAACCCCACGGCCTCGTAACCAGCAACGTTCTTGATGTAATCAAAATGATCTGCAGAAACAATTTGAAAAGTTTTTAAATCTTACTCTAACTCTAACCGTGATATTCAAAGCTGTGGGATAATTCACTTGAGTTCATGAGTTCAATTATAATACATTTCCTGAACAGACAATGTCACCATGATAATTAACAACAACAACTTCTTGCACTTATATAGCACCCTCCACACAGGGGAGCGTCTCTGAATGCTTAGAATTAACCCCATTCTATTGTGTTCCTTTGTCGATATTTCTTGCAACTCATGTTTGACCTCAATCTTTCAACTTCAGGTTCTCTAACTCATGGAGGGTTGGGGACACAAAATAGCCCTGCAAAGTGGTATTGAAGCAATCTAAACAACTGCTGAAAGTAACATTTCATTCTGAAAGCCTCGCCTTTCCCCTATAGGTACAGAGGGTACTGTGGGTGTCAGGCTGAATAAAAGGCCTACATTATTTCAAGAGATCAGACTCTGTTAAGCAAGGTGAGTGGCAGCAGATGGAGAGATGTGCTGGTGGACACTGTGTGGGTTGAGGGATCCTCATGGGAACTTGCTTGATGGACCTCCAAGCTATTTATCCCTCTTTCTTATCTCTGTATCCGTGGGTGTGAACAGGATCAAGCTAAGCTAATTGCCAGGAATACAGGTTGCAGCATTAGATCTACCACTGTGCCTCATGGATTTTTTTTAATGAGTCTTGCTGCTTTTGAGTTGTTCCCCTAACTTGAAGTCACTTAAGTCTTATCTCATTGTAATCTGCTTCCTCCAAATGAGATTTGGCTATCTAGCAACTTTGCAGCGCCTTTTCAGTAATTAAAAAAAGTTCATAACTTGACACTCTTCTCTTCTTCCGCTTTCCAACCCTCCACTTCTTCCCCTTCCACTCTAAAATACTCTGCTGACACTGGTGGGTGCATAGTTGTTATCACACAGGAAACTACATCTGCAAAACATTTGCGTCTCTGTGGACAAAATGCAAACAGTAACAGTGATTTCATCGAAAATGAATGCACTGTCACGGAAGTGGCAGGCTTGGTGCAGGAGCAACTAATCAATAGAGAAGCTGAAAACATGGTCTCCTGGACAAATTTGGTTTATCACAATCATTGATTGATCGATTGTCACCTTCGAGTTGAAGGTTTAAGAATGAAGAGTATGTCAAACACTGCATATACTGACCTGCTACGTCTGACAGATTAGCATTGTCACTACAGGTCACATACGTATTGTAGAAGTTCACCATGACGACACCTTTCTTCTCTTTCTGTCAAATAAATGCATCAATACAGCGGGTCAATGAGCTGAAAGACCTGGTATATGCAGAGAATTGAAGTCCTGGACACACGGCGTGTTTTCATATTCTAGAAGCATTTACTAAATATCGCTTGAAACATTGATTTTCATCTGAATGGTTGTCATTGTGCCGTGATATTTAGAGAATCTGTCTTTCCACAGACAGCTTGTTGTACAGGCCTCTGCTTTCACCATAGAATCATAGAATCTTACAGCACAGAAGGAGGCCTTTCGACCCATCGTGCCTGTGCCGACTCTTTGAAAAGGCTATCCAACTCGTCCCCTCCCCCGCTCTTACCCCATAGCCCTGCAAATGTTTCCTCTTCAAGTACCTATCCAATTCCCTTTTCAAAGCCACAACTGGATTTTCAACCACTCTGTACCCAGAAGCTGCAAATTGCGTAATGGTATCGGAAGTTACCAAAAACCATTACCATATACATCCTTTGACATTTACTCCACTGAAACCTCCTCACAGTGCTGGGCCCAGCATCAGTACTGCCAGGTGAAGACTAACATCCTGTCTTGATGGGACTTTTTTAACATGCACCTTAACATGCAGGGCGGGGGGGGCGGGAGGAACAGAATGGCACAGGGATTGAACCTGATGGCAGCCTGGTTCAGTTAGTAACACTATGGCCTCCAAGGTTGTGGGGTTCAAGCCCCATGTCAAGTTTAACACCTCGTGCCTATTTTGCATTTAGTGGGCAAATATGGGTCATTGAGCTAAGTTTGTACTGTACTGAGATCAGTAAACTTTACTACAAAATTCCGATTTAGAGAAATTTACGATTATTGAGATTCTTACCACAATCTTCAGAATATTATCCGGCACATTGCGTTCGTGCTTACACAGGGCGTAGGCAGATGAATGGCTAAAGATTATAGGGGCCTCTGAAACCTCCAGCGCATCAGACATCGTCTTGACAGAAACATGGGCTAAATCCACGATCATTCCCAGATGGTTCATCTCTTTGATGATTTTCTTACGTTCAATAAAGGAGAGCGATATTAGCAGGTTGAAAAGAACCAACAGCATCTGATTTAACACTTACTCATGCATCATCACTGAGGTGAGTTCATCCTGGCTTTGTCAATGCTGTGATCTCTTAGCTTCAGTGGATCTAATTTGCAGTATTTCTCAATGGGATTTCTCAGTAACCGAGTTACCTCAGGAACTTGGGAAATAAGACTGAACTTGTTGTGCAGTGGTGTTTCAACATGAGTCTCAACACACTGTTGATGTTGTCGAGTATTGGCAATGAGAATGGCTCCTCTAGCAGTTTTACATGAGGACACAGGCCTTTCAATCTCATTCTCAATCTGCTTTGCATGAATAATGTGAACCAACATTATTGTGACTGGAAAGGTTGAAAGGAGCCAGTCATCTATTCAGATTTATGAGGATGTTTGTAATGAAATGCACTGCACTCACTAACCTTCCCGAAATCTGACAGTCCATTATTCTCGGCTTCCACAGCTCCAGTATTCACCTTCCAGCAGTCCGCCCTGAAAGGATTTTACAAAATATTTCTTTGGTCACAGACCGTAAATTCACATGGTTTAATCTGGAGTTAACCTGGTGTGCGCAATTGGCTGTCATGTTTGGCCAACAAAATACACAGTCATTCCACTTTCCAGTATATCGTGTGATATAATAATGTAAAACAGACTAAAAGCACTGTGTTTGTACTGTGATCAGGTTGTTACCATGTATTACTCTGCTTTGAAGTACTAACATGAAATGAACTGAGAAAAATCTGATGAGAAAGCTGTAAGCTGGCACCTCAAGAACACAAGTGCTGCTACCATGTCATGGCATAACAGAACACTGTACGTGATGGGGTTAAACTAGATGAAACACGTATATCAAATAGTGACCATCTTTTTAACAGGAGAGAAAATGATGGCAATATTTATTCCTTACCAAGGTGTGTTGCAGCTGTGTGTAAGGGTCATGTAACGCACTCCTAGTGAATAGAAGAGGCGTAGTGTAGCCATGCTGCTGTCTATCGAGTGTCCGCCTTCAACACCAATTAAACTGGCCACTTTTTTATTTTTGAAAGCTGTCCTTATATCTGATCAGAAAGAAAGAGATTTAGGTTATCAGTGATTTTTTCACTTGAATTCAAAGCGATGTCACAAATCACGTTGATTTCCTCCTGACAGATTTTGAGAGATTTTTGTTTCGATTCTCCTCTATTTTTAACGTTTGGATCCCTGTTGGTACGATGTTTGATCGTGCCTTCAGCTCCCCTCTCGACTCTCTTCCCCCTCCTCGCTCCCTCCCTTCCCTCCCCTCACCCTGACCATTTCCCCCCTCCTCGCTCCCTCCCTTCCCTCCCCTCACCCTGACCATTTCCCCCCTGCTCGGGTCATGACCCAACTGTGCAGGGCCTTGGGACGTCCTCCTGACGTGAAAGGCGCTTTATAAATGGAATCTTGTTGTTGTTGTTTGGTTGGCCAATCTTTCAAGATAAATAATGATGGAAAATGCTGGGAATGGATAACTCATTCCACAACTGCCATGTGCGCAATTGGCTACCGCGTTTCGCTCACAAAATATAGTCGATTCACTTTACGGTATATTCTGTGAAGCCCTTTAAGATGTCTGGACAACGTGATAAGGCGCTAAATCAAATGCAAGGATTATTATTATTATTATTACTATTATCATCATCATTATTATTATTATTATGAACTCACCGGCGCTCGTTTCAGCAAAAGTGAATGTCTCAGGGTATTTCTTGCACATTCTGTGGATGACATCAATCTGATCTAAGGTCTGCCTCACAGCATCTTTGTACTGGGTGTCACATGGTGTGAACGCTGCCCAAAACTAGAAGAGTGGGACACACAAAAGTCCACTTCAGACAATTAGTTCAATTTGTTCTTGTTAATCAATCAAACAAGTTAAAGGTAACCTTGATCTTTTGGGGCTCAGGAGGAATGCAACATTTTTCTCCATGTTTTGCTCCTGAAAGTCCCTTCGTAAGATTACATCAGTTATATTAGAATATAATTATTGTGAGTAAATTGTGAATGATCCATTGGATGCAGTCAGCTTCATGGCCTAGATGGCCTTTCTCATTCATTGCTACTTTATGTTCTTGCAGGAGTATGTTAGCGAAATACTTCAATCAATCGATGACTAAACAAACACCATACCTGTCCTCCAACATGGCCAAGCTTCAGCTTAGGGATATTGGTGTGGGTTTCATTGAATGTGTTCAGATCCACTTTGTTCAACTGATTGTGGAAACGTTTTAGAAGTTGCCAGGGTAAATCATTGTGTCTGAAAAGAAGGGCTCAAATGTCAAAAAACAAATTGTGGTATTTTGGTATCTATTAATTCTAATATAAAGACGTCAATCACCCATAAAAGAAATGGGATAAGGCGATATATCAAATGCAAGAATTATTATTTATATAAGTGCAGTTGCTGTAGGAAACATTAGCATTGTTCATTGCATTTTGTTGGGACACCGAGTGCTTAGTGCAAGTTTATACACAAAAACAGCTTTAACACGGAGATTACAATTTCTGTAAATATCACTGATAGCTAAAAGAAAGCAACTATCTTGATCCATAATTGCACTTAAATCCATATATGGTGCAAATCTAGAAATTGTTCAGTTTTGTGACTTTTATAGATACTCACCCGTCTATGAGTGGATGTTTTTTCATTAGTTCCTTTGCCCGTACATTGAACTCATCTGCAGAAGTGAGAGTAAAAAGGCAGAAAAGAAAGACCGAGATCCACATCTTCTCTCTATCTGTGACTGGAAAAGAATATGCGTCCTTAAACTTTCTGTTTCCTTTCGCTCTGTAGATCTTCCTGGGATCAAGTCAAATTGGAGATGAACTGTGACTTTGGATTCAATACATTATCACTTGGCTGAATCACCAAATTTGTCACTAATAAAATTCTAGGTGCAGAGAGCAACATCCATAAAAATGTACTCCTGTCTTTGTAAATCCTTGGCTATTAACCATTCAAGTACCTTTGAAAATTCACAGTGGCTATTATAATTGAAGAACAACTACAGGAAACCAGTTTTGCCCATAAAATGCACAGTCACCGTACTTTATAATATATCTTGTGAAACACTGTGTGATATCCTTCCGACGTGAAGGGCGCTATATATCAAATGCAATTTTAATTGTAAGAGCCTTTTATACACATCAGAAAGTAGGTTTAAAGACCTCTGAAACATTCTGCTGATAATAAGACTCAGGGTAAGAAAACCACATGGTGCACCGCAAGTCCATCTTGTAGCAGGTTTTCTGTGACTACAAAGGTTTGGGCACAGAAAAGTGAAACATTTTATGAAAAATTCCACTGTTTGATTATTCCACTACCACCACCATCTGAATCTGACTTGTTAGTGTCTGGATTCAGTGACTGTACATTCTGTCATATCAGTGACCTATTAATGACAATTGGAATTTTGCTAAAAGCAGAAATAACTGAATTCATTGAGTTATCCTGTTGACGTGTTTCCCTCGTCACAAGGAAAAGACTTGCTCCAATTGTACTTCAGTTCAGCCAAGAGATGCAGTTGATATATGTGCGCATGTGGGTTTGTGGGAGTGGGGGAGAATGTATAACAAAGGAGAAAGAGAAATAGGACATTTCTAAATACAGCTGTGGTGTCTGAGCATGTGACGTCTGTGACATTGCCGTAGGGATAGGATAGACATCTAACAGGAACAGACTTTCATTGACGTGAATTGTTCTATTGTATTTACACGTAGCCCATTTTTGCCCCTTGAATTTATTTTCTGGCAAATTCTGTAGTTCACTGGGCTATCCTATACAGCTTTCAGTAGTGAATGAAGCATAACAAAGTATCTTACAAATGTTACTTTGGGGCTGGTCAAATAGAACATAATGGTCTTTTCCAGTCCTGTACATTCCTGTGTTTGTATACACAATTTTCTAAGGAATTGTGGCTTGTTCCCAATGGGTTTCTTATCAGGAAAGCAATACCTCTAAACAATGCATGGGATGCGTGTGCTTACGGGGGGAAAGATCTTCCACTGAATGAAGGTGGGGAAGTAAGAGATCTTGAACTGTAACCAAACTGCCAACCTTGCCATACTGGGTACTGTTCATGTTTTTGATTAATTCTCCTGCTAGTATTTGGCCTTTACACTGGAAGAATCATTGGTTTAGAACTTACAATTTTTATTAATAAAAGGCACATGGAGTTTGCCCATTTCCCTTAATTAAATGGTGAGTTTTCTTTTTCAGTACCTGAAAATTTAGAAGGTCACAGCAGTTATTCTGGTCTGACTGCGTTTGTGTTTATTTCCCCACCTCAATTTTGTGGGCCTTCTCACTAAATAACATTCCTCAGGCTGAGAGAGTTGAGTGGAACTTGACTTGTAGGACCTGCGTCAGCCTGATTCTTGTGGTTTAGGAAGCGGACAGAGGTGACTTTCCTTCCTTCGTTTCCTTGTTCTCTGTGTGTTTGCTGTATGATTATGTTACCTTCATCTCACAACTACTGTTATTGTCAACAAAATGTTATCACACTTATCCCTTCACCAAAAAAAATTCTCCCAACACAGTTTCAACGTATTTCTATCCAGAAATGTATCTGGTTATTTCTTACAAGAATCCTATTTAATTCTCTAAATTACTGTGTACCGGCCACATTAATAAAACTTCCCTTTTACGGAGGTCCCTATTAATATTAACAATAACAATCCTTACATTTGATACAGTGCCTGCAACATTAAAATGTCTATTTCACAGGTTGTTGCCTCAATTATTGTCAGGTGTTTAGTTGTAGGGAAATATGGCAGCCATTTTTCATTCTTGAAAGAATCATAAATAATATTGTTGGCCAGATACTAGGAGAAACTCTCTTCTCTTTTCGAATCGTCCCAAAAGATCTTTAACTTCCCCCAAAGCAGGCAGGTGAGACTCAGATTTAACGTTTCATCTAAAAAATGTTTCTTTTGACAATGTAGTGCTCCCCCAATCAATATGGACTCTCAGCTCAAATTTGAACCCACAATCTGCTGAGCCCCACTAAACTAATCTGAAAAACACATTATGAGACTTGAATGTCATGTGTTTAAAGTACACTTCATTATTGTTATGCTGAGGTATAACAAATGAGTGAAACAAGAAAGTTCAATGTCACTAGATAACTGAAGGTTGTGCTATATAAAGGAAATATAAAACCCACTATCAGTAGATTGCACAAGATTGCAAATTCCCCCTAAAAGATTTACAATATTGTATATTCTCAAATGTTGTGCCAACCTAATCATTTTTATAGCAGCATCTGGATATGGTCATAAAAAGACCTCATTCACTAGCTTAAACGGGTTCAGTGTCTTCAAAAGTATATTAACATCAACCTTCACTCCAGGTAAAGTTCCACAGCTTCAAAACAAATGGTCAAAATATCAGTTTAGAGACACTTACAGCGCTACCACATATATGGCATCAGAATTTTCAGACATCATCATAGCTGGTCAGTGTGACATAAGGGGCTTCCCATGCCCTACAGTGCCATTGTTATAGGATTAACTATAAGCAATGATTAGACAAGCTCCAACCCTTTAGCGTTGACAGATGCCCCAAAGATCACCTTACAGAGTTATAATAAAACAGTGGGATTGAAAAAGTAAATTAGAACAATACTTTCTGATGCACTAAGACACGAAAACAAAGGTTTAGAGTTCCAAAGGGCAATTTCAGAGCAGATACCAGTAAGCATTTATTTACCCAGAAACTAATTAACAAATGGAACAGCTTATCGGGAAAGATGCTTGAAGCCAAGATACTGGATTCATTTAAAAACACACCTTGATCCTGTGATAGGAAAATCCTAATGTGGGTATTCTGGATGGATGAAACTAACGTACCAACCGTACATCCAAACCAATCTTGTGTCCTTGTGATGATTCCACACCTTCTGAACCCATTTTATAATCCTTCCTATTCGATCATACCTTGTTACCACCATGTTCAGTAATTCACACTGTTCCTATTAAAGTGCTTTGAAACAGTTTCCTCTACGAAAGGCAATGTCTGTACAAGAACAAATAATAATAATAATAATCCTTGCATTTGATATAGCGCTTTTCATGTCAGGAGGACATCCCAAAGCGCTTCACAGAACACACTGTAAAGTGAATTGACTGTATATTTGTGGGCGAACGCGGCAGCCAATTGCGCACAGCAATGTCCCACAAACAGTCGTAGATTGAAAATGACCAATTTTTATTGTTTTTGGTTTTGGAGGGATTATTATTAGGCTCTGTGTGGAGTAAGGAAACTTGCCCAAGGTTTCGCCCTCTGCTTGGAATTGAACTCAGGTCTCTCACTTGCAAAGCGAATGCTCTAACCACTGAGCTACAGGACTCAATGATACCATTTGCTAAACAACTCCTAGAAAAGGGGTGTTTGGGGAGTAAATTTTAACTAAGTGCAATGAGATCTGAACAAAGATCCACCCTCTGGAACGGCATCCCGGAATCCCTTCGCCTTGGCCCCTCCCTTGCCTTCTTCAAGGCTCGTCTCAAGACCTTCTTCCTCGATCATGCCTCCGGTCATCTTCCCACCTCCACTCCCCTAGCCCCTCCGCCGCTCTTAATTCCAACCGGCTGCAAACCCTTAACTGTCCAGCACCTTGGGATGTGTCCTTTGAAATCAAAACAAATTTTAAAAACTCAATTCTAAATGCTTTTTCCTTACTTTGGTAAACACGCTGACCTAGAATCCATGACCATTCACAAAGATTCTTAGTTTCGATGGTCAGTGCTCCAGAGACATAGAATCATAGAATTTTACAGCACAGAAGGAGGTCATTCGGCCCACTGTGTGTGTGCCAGCTCTTTGAGAGAGCTACCAACTAGTCGCAAATTTTACTTATATTTATCAGATGTGGACCACAAGAAAGCATAATAATTAGGAAAAGCCATTTGGTCCATTCATCCCGTTCCCTTCGGAATTAGGAGTAACGTAAACTCTAAACAAGGAGAAAGGGATCTGATCCAAAAAAAATTCAAGTGTATGTCTAATGAGGCCTATGGTAATATATTTGTAGCAAAAGATATAATGAAACAAGATTGTTTTTTTTCCCCCAGTTAGATGTAAAGTGACAAAGTTGTGGCGCAAATAAAACAGATCAAACGGCTGACAGGAATCAGAGCAATAGGCTGAGTTGGAAATTTTGTCAGGTTTCCGTGATATTCAAGTGACCGGAATTTTATTAAACAGAAATTTAGCAGAAATGGAGATAACACATTTAATTTGAAACTGCAAATGGAGATTTCAATCAATGCATGTGCTGTGAGTTTATCGAAATTCACTCTTATGAAACTTTGCAAACTACATTAGCACTCTCGTTGAACTTCACCTTCTCAGCCTTTTGTGGTGCTTGCCTCTGGGTGGCAGAGTCTTGTTATTACGGCATTCTTACCTATTCACTCTGATGTGGTTCAAAACAAACTGACAGAAACAGCCAAGAGTAGTTTACAGCAGGTGGAATAGAAGAATGCTTTTAAATAATTACAGTCATTCAATGTTGAACCCTATTGCACTACGAATGACTGATTTATCTGGGAGATTGTTAGCTAGGATTCCAGGAGAAGGTCCCTTTTTTTCTGATTAGTTTCAGGGGATCTTTATGAGCCACCCCTCAGTGGAACCTGGCTTCAGTTTCTCATCTGAAAGAGGGACAAAGTGTTGTTTCTCCATTACTGCACTGTAGTGACAGATTACTGCTCAAGCCTTGATTTAACATAACAATAATTGCATTTGATATCACGCCTTTCAAATCAGGAGTACAGATTGACTGGAAAGGGCAGCGATTGCGTGTCTTGTGGGCAAAGGCAGCAGCTAATGTGCACTCCGCAATGCACCACAGACTGCCACGAAGTATCTTCTGTATTAAACACAAGCAGAAGTGAATTGTGAGTGGGGGCTTATATGCCTCACTGACACCACCTGTAGGTCACTCAAGAATCAAAACAGGAAGAAACCCCCCAAATATCCATGACGTTTTTTGCTTGAATAAAAGGCAAGTGCTCACTGTTGAGTAGCTACTCTCTGCAGACCTCACAAGCTATGGCTGATCTAGATGTGACCTTGAATTACTCAGGCATCAACTTTCCTGGGCACCTGCACACGATGAAGTCCCTGCAATATGCTAAGGAATTCAAATTCCACAAGACTGATACTCTCCTGGTCACATACCCCAAATCAGGTAAGGAGCACCAGAGGTTTGTAACTTTTCACTAACATCACTATTACATGTCAGATTTGTTTTTGTTGCCGGTACTTTTTCAGTGTTCGTGATAAATACTTGCAGTAAAATTTCTAATTCTTTATCACATCTTTATCCAGGCTTCTATACAACCTGTCAATCAGCCTCAGGCATTAGTGCAAATGATATTTCATCACTTGCCTGTTTTGTTTTGTCAGATGGGTGTCCAAACCCATCACCGTGCTTGAGAGTCTCCAAATCTAACTACTGAGTTCAACAGATGTAGGAAGTTGGGTTTTCTGGAATGGGAGTTCACACTCTTTCCCCAGAGGAACGCACCCTGCTTATCAAAGTACTCTAGTAGGTGCATTTTGGCAAGAGCCAAGGCTTGGGCACCCCAGAGTGTGCAATGTGGTATTTCTCGAGTTTAACTGGCTAACGGTTTTGCTACTATTGTACATCACTGGTAAGCCTCCCACTGTTTGGACCACTCTACCTACTTTGCAGGGTTATCAATCAGAAGTTGAGTGGAACTGATCTGCTCATGTAGGTCCTGCCATCCTCCCGGCCAGCCAGCCTGCCTGCCAACAGTGCCTTGAAGTACTGTGAACCTGCCTGGCTCAGGTATTGGGCTGCTGAGACCACCGCAGATAATTGCCACAATTCAGATTTTCCACTGTCAGGCGTGTAACCTTAGAGCCAACTCAGACCCAAAGGAACTCTGGAGGACAGTCACTAGCCAGTCAAACCTCTTAGACCAGATTGAACCTTCTGATATATTGACCTGAATTTTATCTTAACAATATTGTTCCTTAGTTGGGACCGAATGACCTAAACTGCATGTGATTTCCAGTGTCCACCCCTTTTCTGAACATTCTCTAAGCGCGTTCTCCATAGGTCCTGATGGTTAGTATCTGAAGCAAATAGAAGCTTAATGTCAATCTCTTCCTCTCAGACTTGTTGCAAGGTTTATATCTAACTGTGGAAAAAAACCTGCAGGTTTAGAGGACATTTACTTAAAGATGCTTCAGGAATTGATGTACCACATGGATATTAATAAGCCTTTGTTCAGGAGCAGTATTGTGAGAGCAGCACAGAATCTGTTTCACACTGGAATTCAGATTGTATAGCGACCATTAACTTCCTCCGTGGCTCTTCAAAGTGGAAGATTGTTTCTACTGTTTCGACAAGCTCTCTGGGACTCTACCCTGCGTGAGAGGTGTTATATAAAGTAGTTTTTGTACTTTTGACTCAATTAGCATTTTTTATGATGCCACCACTTAAGGTCATGCGGGAACTAATGGGTTTGGCAGCATAATAATAATAATAATCCTTGCATTTGATATAGCGCTTTTCATGTCGGGAGGACGTCCCAAAGCGCTTCACAGAACACACTGTAAAGTGAATTGACTGTATATTTGTGGGCGAACGCGGCAGCCAATTGCCCACAGCAATGTCCCACAAACAGTTGTAGATTGAAAATGACCAATTTATTATTGTTTTTGGAGGGATTATTATTAGGCTCTGTGTGGAGTAAGTACCCAAGGTTTCGCCCTGTCTGGAATTGAACTCAGGTCTCTCGCTTGCAAAGTGAGTGCTCTAACCATTGAGCTACAGGACTCGCATGCGTACGAGAGAATAATTGGCACAATAGAGAATTGGTGCTTTGTGGTCAATTAATTTTAAAGAACAATATTGTGGCATCGGTCATGTGTAGTAGCCCACTTCCTCTAAACCTGTTCAGTTTATGTAGCTCAAATACTTTATTTTTCAAACGAGCTTCTTTCCACAAGAATAAGGGACACCACTTCGTACTTCTCAAGTGGGTAATTTACTTTCACCAGAGATGCACATAGAAATCCACATTTTGTCTCCTGCCGTTTTTCTTTTTGCACCTTGACACATGAAATGCCTTTTGTTTTACTTAGTAATGAAGTAGAAAAGGGAAACGGAAGTGCACAGGAGAATGCTGTATTATGCTATTCTGCGATATATTCAGTGACATTTAAATGAGTGATTAAAAAAATCTATCATGCTACTGTAAAGGGGGGAAGGGGAGAGGAAGGACAAAACAACAAAATTTCATTTGTATAGCGCCTTTCACGTCAGGAGGATGTCCCAAGGCAATGGACAAACAAACATAGAAATCCACTTTACAACTTTATAACATATAGGCAACTGGAATTGAAATGAAGTTGCAACATCCAAGAGGAAGTTTTAACTTGGGATAAATGGATATTGTAGGCACAGAAGTGTTTCATGTTATTCCCCCAAAGAAAGACAGAACAAATTATTGCATTGTAGTTAATAATAATAATCCTTGCATTTGATATAGTGCCTTATCACACCATTGAGATGTTTCAAAGCGCTTCACAGAATATACTGTAAATTGAATGACAGTATTTTTTCAGACGAAACGCGACAGGCAGTTGCGCACGGTAGCGTCCCACAAACAATCATGGACACTGCTACTCAGGTATATATCTACTTAACTCTATACAGTATTGCAATGTCTTGGTGTTTAATTCCAATAGGTACAACATGGATGCAGGAGATTCTCACACTCATTTACAGTGCTGGAAACGAAGTACCTGTTAAAACCCTCCCAAACTGGATGCGAGCCCCATGGCTTGAGCAATACTACTCCGAGGACATCTTGCAGAACAGACCAGACAATCGGATCATCACATCTCACCTGCCCTATCACATCCTCTCCAAAACTCTGAAACAATCTAATCCAAAGGTTTGTGAATTTTAGCACCAAGCAATAGCTTCTGATATTCAGGCCTTTTTGCAGCTAGCTTAAAGGAAACAAGATGTAAAAAAAAAAGTACATTTTAAGAAATACAGTCCTGCACCACACCCTCTGACTGTGGTGAAGCAGCTTCTGTTTCTTATTCTGTTTCTTGTGAACATCGAAATAATGGTATAACATTTCTTTCCTGCAGGTTGTGGCTGAGAGAATTGACAACAATAACAGACCTTTTGACCCCTGTAGCCTGAACTGAGGTTGAGTACAGTACTGGAGCTAAATATTGTACTGTCTAAATCCCATTCTCAAATTCAACTCAAAAGTGCTTGAGGCTAATTGGAGTGTCTGTCCTAATTTCATTCTGCGCTGAGATCAGCCAACTCAACTTCCCAGTTTGTCTGAATGAACTAGCTCAGACTTTGGCAAAACCTTGGGCAAGTTTCCTTACTCCACATCCCTGATAATCCCTCAAGAAAAAAATAATGAATTGGTCACTTCAATCCATGACTGTTTGTGGGACACTGCTGTGTGCAGTACTATACAGTTGCCCACAAATATAGTCAATTCACTTTACAGTATATTCTGTGAAGCGCTTTGAGACGTCTAGAAGGCGTGAAAAGCGCTATATCAAATGCAAGGATTATTATTATTATTCCCTGTTAGTGTGAGAGCAATACAGAGTGCGAACAGGAATCCAGGCTAACAGCTCCCATTGGTCTTCTCTAGGCACCTTATTGAACCAGAACTTTTCATTTAACTTAAAACGTGGATTGTAATACATTTTGCCATTTTGTTCTGTAGGTGATTTACATTTCAAGAAACCCAAAGGATATAATTGTATCATTTTACTATTTTCACAAAATGGCACAATTCCTGCCAGACCCAGGAACCTTTGAAGAATTTGTAAGGAAATTCGCTTTTGGAGAGGGTATGCAATATTTATTTATTTCATTTATTTATTTCCTAATTGCTGAAACAACTAACCACATACGGTTAAGTGGGACACTTTGTCTCATTACACTGCAGTAAATGTACTCAAAAAATTTTGAAATGTGAGCTGGACTGTTTGTGGTATCGATGAACTGGTTACTTCCTGTTTTGTGAACTAATTCCTGTTCTTACTTTTAAATCCAGCAGTTCCAATCCATTTCCATTCTCTTTTCACAGATGCAATTGCTGGTTGACATTTGATTGAAAAATTGGTCATTTATAACCAGTAAAAAAGAATTGTAAACTCTTTAGATAAAATGTAGCCAGTGTTATTGAAATACAAGTACATAATTCTTTAAGCATATGTGCAATTGAAAGAAGTCAATGGTTTGCAAGAGACATTCATATTGATCTAAGCCCTTGAAATGAAGAATGCTGTTATGATCTGAAGAAAGAATAGTTTTTTTTCCAAAGCAAAAGCAAGTCTGGTGATATTGCTCCTTGTAGTTTTATTTAAATATAAAAGATGTAAATATGCACGCAAACCTTTAGGAATTCCAAAAAGCATAGATGACCTTTTCTTTAAGAAACTGTTTAAATGTGTTAAATAAAGGACTCACAAAGTGTCATAAATGTAAAGGCAATCTACAGTTTGACAGAAAATTTCAGTACAGTACATAGGCATGGAAATGGATAGGGCATTTCCAATTGTAGAACTTTTTGCCTGAGTTGAAACACTACATTAATTACACAGCAGATTACAACACATTTAAGGGCACTGACTACCTTATATTTGCAAGGTGGAGGGAGGGAGAGAGGAATACAAGTCAACCCAAGTCCTGTAATAATGTTATATCTATGTGATCTCAAACTTATCAGGCCATGTAGAGAATAGTGCATCATTATTAAATTACCCCCAAACTGTGAACAAAACAGCGTCGTAGGACCAAAATCCCTTTGGGTAAAATTTAACTAATACCTCAATCTTATTTTAATAGTGGACAAAATAGTTTGCTAAGTCTGGTTGGTGAGATTCAAAGCGACTCCTGTATCTTGTTTTTCAGTGCATTTTGGATCTTGGTTTGACCACATAACAGAGTGGCTGGAGCACAAAGAGGAATTCAACATCCTGTTCATTACCTACGAAGAAATGAAGAAGGTAGAGTTTTTTATTGCTATGCCTCATAATAATATTAATTACATTTGACAGTGGCAGAGCATGATGCCGAGCCAAGGGGGAAGTGACCGAGATATGGTCAAAGAGGAAGGTCTTCAGGCACGCCCTGAAGATGGGGGAGGAAGGGGCAAGGTGGAGAGATAGAGAAAGAGTGTTCCAGAGCTTCAAGGAGCAATGGCTGAAAGAGCAGCCACCGATAGAGCTGATGAGCAGTTACGGGGTCGAACCTAACTGTAACCCTCTGAAAGGAAATATAGCTCTTGGCTTTTATAATTATGTCACATTGGTGAAGTCTATTTATAGAGTATGTGACAAATAGAAAGCTATCATATTGCTTGGCAAACCCTCAGCTTTCTGAACCACGTTAGAAAGAAATAGGGAATGAATAAGGAAAAGGAGAGAAGGATGGATAGAGTTACAATTGAACATGTTAAAAAACTCCAGCAATACATCTTACATAGAAAAACTCTCAAAAATATGCGCTGTGAGCTCATTGCTAATAACACTGAGACCAGCCAAGGAATAAGGGAATACTAAACTCTCAACAGCTATTCTAGATATTCAGGTAGGAAATTTGAACAAAGCTCCAAATTAGTCAGAAACTAGTTTAACCTTAATGTGACTTTAACAGACATCAGGAATCCAAAAGCTTAGAAACAAAGCAGACTTTGCACACCCAGTAGAGTGCAAATGAGTTTCTTGAGCAATTGTCAGAATTGCTTTTGTTATCTTTACAGAATCTCAGACAATGTGTTGAAAAGACATGCGATTTCTTAGGCCGTCCACTTTTACCAGAGCAAATCGACTCAATCATTCGCTATTGCACTTTTACCAACATGAAGGACAACCAGATGGTGAACTACACACTGGTTCCCAATGAAATTATGGATCACAGGATCAGCAAGTTCATGAGAAAAGGTCAGTGAAAATCACAGATCCAATCACAGATCTTTGCTGTACGTTCAATCTCATTCTGACTGGTTTTCTCACTCTTGTGCAGGTATAGTTGGAGACTGGAAAGAGCATTTCACAGAGGAACAGAGCCAGTTTTTTAAGAAGATTTGCCAGGAGAAACTATGCAATTCTGACATTCGGTTTATCTGGAATTTATGAGCCCAATTGTGCATTTTAAAGGCCCTCCTCAGAAAAACCCAACTGTTTAGAAAAAAAATCCACAGAGAACATTCAAAATGATACAATAATTTCAAAACCAAAGTTACACAAAGGAAATGCAATTCTCTGGTTTTGAATGGATTTTGCTGGCATTTAAGCTTGATTTATTTTTTCAATAAGTAAATGGCAAATTACTGTATTTTTAGCACTTTAACTCAATACTGTGAATAGAAATGTAGTTGCATTGTAATTAGTCTATTGCACACCATAGATCCAAATGAGGGCGAGGTTTGTAATTCTAAACTAAACTGAAACAAAGCAAAACTGTGTTTATTTCAGAAATATACATTTTTGATAAAAATCAGATATTCAACAAATCCTCAAACCTCTGAGAAAGGAAGCTTAGTCTTTTCTCCCACTCAAATGCAATCAATAAATGAGATAAAAGATTTGTATGAAAAATCACAAGATCACCCAGCCATTGGTGGTCCACCCAGCCATTGGTGGTCCACCCAGCCATTGGTGGTCCACCCAGCGCTTCTATTCTGTGAAGCGCTTTGGGACGTCTAGAAGACATGAAAAGTGCAATATCAAATGCAAGGATTATTATTATTATTATTGGCTTCTGTAACTCTTCATTCTTTTAAGAGAATTTTTCATCTCATTATTTTGGAAGGGCTAGTCTGCCTTGATGGCATAGCTTTAGTTTACTTTCAATGTACAGTCTCTAGGCAGAGAGCCTTGAAAAACACACCGACCTTCAATATATATATTCATCTTTAACAATCATATTGAGAGAGGGGAAGGGAGGAGAAAGCTAACATGGATGTGCATTTAATAGCTAGGCTATCTTCCAATCCACATCAGTTTATGAAGAATTACCGATGGTCTTAACAGTCAAATAAGCTTCTGCAAGCTGCAGTTGCTGTTGCAGAATTAAATGAAGGGTATCATTGATAATCATCGCAAAAGCAATTTCAAAGTGTTTGAGCACAAACACTTGGTGCACTTCTTAGTTCCTGAATCAATTTACAAGTTGACTTGAAAAGCCACAATAGTTTCAGCAAATACTATTACTAATAAAAGATGCCGTAGTTTGAATCATTTTTCTGACTTGTCTTTTTCTTTCAGAATCACTTTGGCCTTAAAGCAAACTTGTATATTAAATCTGATTGAATCTGGGAAATTGAATGAACCCAAGGCTAACTGAATTTGTAGAAAGTTTAGCTCTAAATTGAAAAAGTCTGTGTAGAAGGTGCACACACAGTGGTTACTATTAATTGTGTTGAACAACATCTTTCTCACCCTCATGTGCATCCTATAACATTGAAGTCTTCCTAAATATTTATAAGCAGCAGGTTTAATTTAAAATGACAAGGAATCCCACTTAGTGCTTCTGTAAAAAAAAGTATTTTGCCTTGTATGGAAGTTAGAAAATTCATAATTTGTGCTGAAAAGTGTTAACTGCATTTTTCCAGAAATGACAAAAGATACGCCCAAGGCATCATAGCTTTATTTTCTGATATTGTAATCATCCAGCTTTATTAGCACAAACTAGGAACTTTTCTGAGCATCCAAGTCAAAAAAAATTAGATTTTCCATTAAACTTACTTATAAATCCTAAGATTACCTATAAACATAATATAAAATACAATATGGCACAATACAAGTAACAAAGGTGTACAATATTGTGGTATTTAAAGTGCATCACCTCCTTCCCAGAAGAAAAAAAATTAAAAGATGATATTATCAGCAGAACTGAAAGGCTTTTTTTTCAAAATACTTCATCTCTAGAACTCGACAATTCATCTAAAGAACAGGAACTACTCACATCTAAATGATGCACACCAAGGTTTCTACACAATTCAAACGCTGCCTCGTTTTGATCAGGCCAAGATAGTGCCATCTAATATGGTTGCAAAGACCAGTTTTTCAACACAATGTACTTAATAAAAGGCCTAGAGAAAGGCCCAGGACAAGAGAACCTTGTTCAAAGGCAATTCAGCAGCTGGGAGTTTATTCCTAAATTAACCAGTAGCTGAAAGTAGAAGCCTCTTATTTCTGCTGACAACATTAGTTGTGAAGCAGATTTGAATTCCCACTTTTTTTTAAAAAAGAGGCCTTCACTTCAAGTTAGCATTAATTTTCCAAAGCAATTACATAATGTTTTTTAAAAAATTATTTTAAAACATTAACTCTTCTTATTAAAATGGTTTAGGATAAGTCGATTCTGTTCGATGGGCTTTGTTACCAATCTACAGAAACAAAGCATCTTTGGGTAATCCACTGGTAATCGAAAGCTGATCTGTCCTGATCTGAGTTACGATTCAATTGTGCTGAAATTTCACATGCACTTCAGGCTCAGAGTAGATCTAACTGGCAATGGCAGCTTAGGTCTAACCAGTCACCCTGATTGTATTACCTTTCTTAGATGAAAAGGGCCATTCTAAAGCTACTTCGGCCAGTGAATCAATAGGAGTAGCTGAATACCCAGTAACTAATCTCTTTACAAATACCATTACCCCCTTGAAGATACAGGAAATTTGGCTATCAGCTGCAATATTTTTTTCGACATCTCTAACACACAATCCAAATAAGTCTACAAAAAGGGCATCCTTTCAACTACTTAACTTATTTTTTGAAATACACAAAGAAATACACTACAGAACTACAAACTTATTCAATTACTTGCTTTTTAGATCCTCAAATTAACAATTAAGATAATTGTAGTTAATTGTTATCGCAACACCACGTGATTTACCTCGGAGGGAAGGTCAAATTTAAACTGGAAGACGGAGGAAAGAAAGTTGAAATTGGGAGTTGACTCTTTATATTTGCTGAAATCTAGGAACCTAAAAACTCATACCCTTCTCTGGTTACAACCTCTTGGTAGGACAAAATAGCAACTCTGCAACTTCCTGTTTGCAGCCACAAGCTTTAAACACCACACAGATGTGTCACAGATGTAAAGGTCTGAAGTTTTCACACCTTATTTTCTCATTACTCATAGAGGGAACCAAATTACAAATGGACGAGATGCTGCAAAACCTCACTTGATCGGGACGATCACAAATCTTGAAAGAGTGGCCATTAGGAAATTGGACAATAAAGTTCTCTCTGGTTGCAAAACACTTGGATCCCACAAGTCTGTTCATCATTTTCTGAAACTTTTTTCTGAAGCTCTTGTTCATCCAGAAGTATACAATACAGTTGAGAAAGCCATTTCCACATGGTAACCAGAGGGCAACAAACTCCAACCACTCCGACACCCTCTGTTGCGTTAGAGCTAAATTTCAAATACATTTAGTTAGAGGTGGTTTAAACAGAAAAGGGAATGAATTGCATCATTTTTCTACATGGTTTGAATAAAAAAAATTAACAGAACACGCCAGATAATAATAATAATCCTTGCATTTGATATAGCACTTTTCACGGCTCTAGACATATCAAAGCGCTTCACAGAATATGCTGTAAAGTGAATTGACTGTATATTTGTGGGCGAAAAGTTCAACATTTCCTCAATTTAATCCTAGTTGGCATTTATATAAAAAGACACTGGTGCAGCTGTACAGAGATTTGGACTAACTTTAGGAGGAGCTCTTATTGGTGTCAATCCATCTGATGGCTTTAAGACTGAAAATTTTGCTTTGTGCATCAAACATTTTTAAAAACAGTTTGTTACTTTTCAGCTTGTTTGTAAAGAAAAAGTTCTTGGGAAGGAGAGGAGTTACAGCCCTCATGTACAACAATAACAACTTGGATATATATAGCGCCCTCCACACCGGACAGGGTCTCAGAGCGCTTCCAGAGTTCCAGAGCCTCAGGGCATAGTGGCTGAAGGCATGCCACTGAGGGTGGAGCGGAGGACTCGGGGAACGAGGAGGAGGCCAGACCCAGAGGAACGAAGGCAACGGGCACTGTTTTGAGGAGAGGTCAGAGGGTGCAGAGGAGTGGAGGGATTTGAAGACAAGGGTGAGGATCTTGAAGTCAATCCTCTCTGGGACAGGCAGCCAGTGCAGTCTGGCAAGGACTGGGGTGATCGGGGAGCAGAGTTTGGTGCTGGTGAGAATGCGGGCGGCAGAGTTTTGTATAATCTGGATTTTATGGATGGTAGTGGAAGGGAGACCGGCGAGGAGGATGCGTGAATAGTCCAGCCAAGAGGTGACAAAGGCATGGACCAGGGTTTCAGCGACTTTCGGTGAGAGGTATTGGCGGAGAGGGACGATGCATCGGAAGTGGAAGAAAGAGTGCTGGTGAGGGACCGGATGTGGCGGAGGAAGGATAATTGGGGGTCAAACCTGATGCCTAGGTTGCGTATGCATTCAGAGAGTTTTAGGGGGAGGTCTGGTAGGTGGAGGACCGTGAGATTTTAGACGCTGACGAGAGCCAAAGAGTATGGCTTCCTTCTTGTGAACATTCAGCTGAAGGAAATACTGGGTGGGAAAATAAGAGTAATAATTACATTTGATACAACACTTGATCACACCTTTGAGATGTCTCAAAGCGCTTCACAGGATATACTGCAGGATGTATTGCAAAGTGGTGTAACTGTGTACTGTGCGGAAAAAATGAGGCAGTCAGTTTGTGCCCAGCAATGTCCCACAAAGGGCCCTGGAGTGAGTGACTAATTTTATTGGGGAGGGGGGGGTGGAGTTTGGAGATTGTTGGCTGGAACACTGGGAGAGAGAACCTCCCTACTCTTTTCAAATAGTGCCAAGGGTTGGGTCTTCAGCATCCACCTGAACAGACGGAGGGGACGTTAGTTTCACATCTCGTCTGAAGGACAGATACTCACCCTGATAGAGGATGTTGCAGACACAGGGTGTCCAGCAGGTGTAATAAACTATAACCACAGGCACCAGAATCCTAGAGGCAGAATCGTGTCGTCTCCTGCTCACTTTGGAGGGCTTAAACCGATTAAGTTGACTCCTGGCTGCAAACCAGAGGCGGAAATTGGCGAAGGTCATGATGAGGGAGCAGGGGAAGAAGATGAAGGCGGTCAGCATCAAGGAGTAAGGGAGGTTGCTGGAAAAATCCAGGTTGCAGATCAAAGATGAGCTGGAGAAGTAGACCTGGACCACTCCCCTGGGGACTGATATGGGCAGCAACAGGATGGGTGGCATGAGCCAGGCCAGAGCAATGAGGGCTTTGATCCTGAAACTGGTCATCAGCCGGGAGTACCTGAGAGGGAAGAACACAGCGATGTAGCGCTCGATGCTGATGGTGGCCAGGGAGTAGATGGAGGAGGTGAGGATACTGGCGTTGAGGAAGACGGCCAGGTGGCAGAAGGCAGGGTCCAGCTGGTGTCTGAGCTCAGGGACGCGGCTCCCGTACAGGTTCAGGGGGATGACGATCAGAGCCAAAGCAGCATCGGCGCCGGTCAGCGATATCAGGACGTAGCGGCTGTTTTTGGACCAGCCCGAGACTGAGGAGGAGATGACCGTCATGACCGCAGTGTTGCCCAGGATGATCAGGCCGCCCAGGACCGCAATAATGCAGGTTTTCCAGGTCGCCGCCACCACCTCCGCTGCAGATCTCCCCCCATCACAGGTCGTGGCATTGGCTTCCACCAGGCTTTGGTTGTCCATCTTTGGGGGGGGGGGGGCTGCAAAGTCAGTCTCGATTCTCCAAACTTTTGCTGTTGGGGACACCAGCATCGTTTGCCCTCCCACTACATTGTGTGTGTGTGTGTTGCTCCACCTCAACTCAATTCTCCCCCATTCCCAATCCAAGCAACACACCTGCTCAGGCTCATTCCCAACCATTAAATAAGGGGATTGATACCTCTCCTCCCTCCCTCCCTCCCCCGGGGCACATGATCAGCAGGTGAATGAACCACAAGCTCGTTTCCATCCCCTTCTGTTCCCTCAAGTGTTGAATTATCTTCGAGTTTGGAGCTCATTGTGACAGCTGCAACTGATCTGGTTCTCAATAATTCCTCATTACATACACACAATATATATATTGCATATAAGTATATATAACGTACCATGCAACACAACAATTGGATGATTATATATATATATATGTGTATTTCTAAAATATGGAATTTCTTCCACAGACCGTTTGTTCCTCCCTGGACACTCCGCAACCTACTTTTTTGTGTGTACTGCGGGAACTTTCTGCAAACTTTCTCGCTTCCTCTAAATTAAGATGGACAGCATTCCGAAATAGCTATTCTTCAATTCTCATGCTCTTGACCAGTCTTCTTTGGAGGGACATTGCTATAGTTCCAGTAATTTAGGGATTGTTCTGCTTATCGGAGCATCTGTTTATCTCAAGAGGAGTGGCACTATCATGGCTGGATTGACTTTCATTTGTCGAACAGGTTTCTTTTTTTGTTCTGTAGTTATGTTCTGTGCTGATCATGTGCCAGACAGTACTCCAAGGGGCAAATGATGACATATCAGGCAGATTAGATTGTTGGCAGGTTTTGGAAAGGTCGACTAATGTGCTCACCACCAAATTTTTATAGTGTTTTTATAGCTCCTCGCCACCAAAGACTCCCAAAATGTCACTCGTTGCAACACAGGCCAATAGTTTGCAAATTAAAGTAATCCAAGCCAACTTGGAATAATAGAAATTCATCAAATCACCACTGGCTCTCAGAGGATCAATATTGGTTTGTGGTTGGATCAGTTCCCTAAAACTTCTGGCCTGAAATATATCGGTCAAAGGCAGATAGCACTGTGATATTGTACAGAAGCAGGAAGATTCATAATGACACCCCTTGCCACTGGAGGGCGGCTAATTACTACATTCAGTCTTTTCATTCCATATCTGAATTTAAATGCGTCCGTACCTTACCTTCTGATTTATGTCAGAATTCTGGAGTCACCATCATATTGGTGTGTTTCACCGAATGTCTACAGTGCACCCAATACCCCAGAGGTGTCTGAAGTTAATGTAGTACAGATACATGTATCTGTGCTAACAGGCAGTCATTCAATATTGAAGCCTGGTTTCCATGGATACCAATTCTCTGACACTTTTGCTGATTGAATATTGAAGCTTGCCTCCGCCTCACAATGTTAGGGTGGGTGAACCAGAGAGGTTCCTCTAGGAAATTCCTGGACTTTTTAAATACGTGTTTGCTAATGACATTCTGAACATCTGTGATCAGGGCTCCCTCTGCCTCCTTGTCCTCCTCGACCTCTCTGCCGCCTTCGACACTGTCGACCACTCCATCCTCATACACCGCCTCTCCTTACTTAATCTTCACGGACCTGCCCTTGCCTGGTTCGATTCCTATCTCTCTTACCGTCTCCACTTTGTTGCCTCTAACGGTTTATTCTCCAGCCCCCGCACTGTCACATCTGTCACCCCCAGGGCTCTGTCCTTGTCTCCTCTTTAATATCTACATGTTCCCCCTAGGTGACATCATCCGCAGACATGGGGTCAACTTCCATATGTATGGAAGACAGATGACACCCAACTCTATCTTTCTGCCTCCACTCTCAACTCCAGGACCACTGCTGTCCTGACAGACTGCCTGTCAGACATCAAGTCCTGGTTGAGGGCAAACTTCCTACAGTTGAATGTGAACAACACTGAGGCCCTCCTGATTGACTCGCGTCAGCGCCTCACCACCTCAGGCTCTGGCAGCATCAGCCTCCGTGGTTGCTCACTTCAACTCACCAGCCAGTCAGGAACCTGGGTGTCTTGTTCGACCCTCAACTGTCATTTCTTCCCCACATCCAAGCCATGACCCACTCTGCCTTCCCTCACCTCCATAACATCGCCCGACTCCGCCACTACCTCATCCCTCAGGCCACTGAAACTCTTGTTCATGCCTTCATCACCTCCAGGCTTGACTATGGAAATGCCCTACTCGTCGGCCTTCCCAACTCCTCCCTCCACAGGCTGCAGATAATCCAGAATTCTGCAGCCCGTGTCCTCTCCCGCACCAAACTCCATGACCCCATCTCCTCCACTCTTGCCCAACTCCAATGGCTCCCTATCCTTCAGAGGATCCAGTTCAAGATCCTGGTCCTCACATACAAAGCCCTCCATGGCCTCGCCCCACCCTACCTCTGCGACCTCATAACTCCCTACCAACCCGCCCACTCCCTCCGCTCAGCCGGCTCCGGCCTGCTCCACATCCCCCGACCCACCCGCCCCACCATTGGCGGGAGAGCCTTCAGCCACTCTGCTCCCAACCTCTAGAACTCCATCCCCCAATCACTCCGCCTCGCCCCCTCCTTAGCCTCCTTCAAGTCCTGCCTCAAGACCCTCCTCTTCGACCATGCCACCGGTCACCCCCCTTCCCCTCCCCTCCCTTCAGCCCCCCTGACCCCAGCTCGGGTCTGAAATGCCGTACACTGTCGAGTGCCTTGGGACGTCCTCTCGACGTGAAAGGCGCTATACAAATGTAATCTTGTTGTTGTTGCTAATGTATCATAATAGGAAAAGTGTGATAGTTTGTTTCTGGTATATTATTTAACCTTGTGCCAATGCTATACAGTGGGCAAGACTCCTCAGGCCTGCAATTTCTGACATTCTATGACGGATTCAATGTAATGATTATCACACCGAATCTGTTACGAAATGTCACAAATTTCACCTCCATATCTCAAAGATTCTGTCCCATCATTAATATTATAATTTACTCTTCAATAGCCAATCTATTGCCTGCTGCCTCAGTGCACACTGACCAGATGTCTCAGCTCTGAACTTGCCAGCTCCTGTGTGACCCCACATCACCTCCAACAGTCCCTTATCGAAAAGCAAGCAGCAAAGTAATGATATGATCTCTTATTTTCCCTTCTGAAAGTGAAGTATTGAGATCACTGAATGTGCAGGGTAAGCAGGATAAACAATGGGGCTCAGGGGGTTATGGAAAGATAAAATGAAGTGAGTTAGATCCACATGGCTCACTTGTGTTTTTTGAGCTCATAAATGACATATCTGGCGTTTTGTTCTTCGTGGATTTATACCTTCCACAAATCTTATTAAAGATAAAAAAAATCATGTTCTTTTTTGTTTCCTGCGGTTTGTCCCTGCTTTTAAGTTGTGATCAGTTATCCAATTTATCCAATTCCTATCTGATTGCCAGAGAGTTAAAGAAACTCGTGGTTATTATTAGCCGTCAGATAGACTGAGCTCTGTGGGTGCTCAGATGCATAGCAATGCAAGTAGCCTTGTGATCTGAGCTACGCAGTGGGGTAAAGAACAGTTTGTCTACAGCATGCGACCCACACACAAGCAGAGGGTCAGCACAAAATATGACAGCTGGCTCAGGTGTGGTCTCAGCGTGTTGAGCTCCTTGCATGCTGGAAACAGAATTTTAATAGAAGGTATTGGTGCAATTAAAGTAATAGATGTGAAAAAAAATGCCTGAGCTGCAGCAATTCGTTGCAACAGAGAGATGATAAAATGTAGCAGTTACAATAATGATGAAGAAATGTTGCACAGTGGGATGACTGGTTCCTTCTACCTCGCAGTGATCAAAAAAGTGAATTAGAAAATAATTATCTTTGAGAAGCGATAGAACAGTGGAAAATGGATTGTGGCTGACACAATGCATTTATGTTCATTTGTTATATAAATAAATCAATTCTTACTCGCAATGCTACTGTTGCACTGTTTTGTTTTATTCGATGGTTGTAATTTCCAAAGCTATTATCTTGTTCAGACACACACGCAAATATGCATAAAGGTTGTCACTTCTTTTGCTTGAAGACAGTGAATACAGATTAGCCGCATTTGGGCTCCTGCAAAAACAAAAGCAACACATTGAGGTCATTAAGCAGAGTGAGGATTATTGGTATCACATTCTCTGATGACAAGTTTATTAAAAAAAAATCTGGCCCTCAAGTTTACCCCTGTTGCTCCATGATGCCAATGCATTAAGGGTGTCCGAATTGGAATAATTTCATTCTTCCTGTATTCCATATTGCCAAATATCAGTGTTTACTAACATTTCATCCAATGCAACATCCCTTATTGGAGTTCTTGCTGAGTGCTGCTCAGTATTCGGCATATTAAGCTAAATACCATTTCTATGTTGGTCTACAATGCAGAATAATATTAAAAATTTAACATGTCAAACACTGAGAAACATTCAGCAAGTCCTCAAGCCACTGAGTGGGCAACTATTTAACTAAGTGTGGGAAGCTCACCCACCTTCTCTGATTAAAATTGCTGCTTACCTCCGTGGTATGGAAACCATAGAAAGGATCACATTTTAAAAAGATGTACTGTAATAAGCTGCAACTTAAAAATGAATATATAATGTTTGCCTACTAAATACATAGCAGTGCTACACTTTACAGTATATCCTGGGAAGCGCTTTGAGACGTCCTTCCGACATGGAAGGGTTATATCAAATGCAAGGATTATTCATGTTTTGATATATATTTGGGGGGTCTTTTGAAAATCACGCCCCAGTTCTTTCAGGAATGATAAACAATGAGGCGTGAGTGCTATAGGCATTGGTTGGTATATGAAATCCTTAATGAATAAAAGATTCAGTTTCTCTCCACTACTGAAATATTTTCTCAAATAATTAGGAGTGCTGTATTTTATTTGACTTTAGCTTTCCTATTTTAAATTTCTTTGCAACTAATACTTTACTCCAGTACCAAAA